TTTGAAACAACAGTCTCTAGATCTTCAGTGCAGAGTTTAAGCCAGCTGTAAAAATGGCTAAGAAGGTCTGTGGGGAAGTTCACTATAGATTTTAATTTTCATTTAATAATTAAAAAATGCTTTTTAATCTATGAAGAGAGGGGAACAGCAGATCTGCTCCAACAAAGCCATGAAGCACACATTTAAGGTCTGTAACAGACTGTGGGTGGAGAGAAACACCAGTAAGCTCAGGAATGGTTTCATTTGGAATCGTAGCAATATTGTACTTCCCACGTCACCTTTGTACCAAACCTGGAGCATGATGATTGCAGAGGGAGCTGCTTTCCTGGTCTGCTGTGTTAGCCCTGGAGGCGTTCCAAGGCTGAAATAATAAATGTGGTACAGTAGGATTGACTGAACTCTCCTAGGGCTGATTGGGAAATGCTCAATAAGGCTGGACTTCAGGTGTCCCTTAGCAGAGCCCAAGGGCACCCTCAGGATTGCAACACAGATTTAGCAGCCCTGGTGAAGGGCCCTAGCACAGGCCAGTCACCTGCTTTGGAAGGGGTGTGCCTGACCTGTGACTGCATCCAGTCATGGACTGAAATGCTAGGGATGTTGAAAGTCAGGATTGCAGGGTCAAGCTGTGTGTGAGGCTTCATGACTGATGGGAGTAATTGAGGATATTTATTTTCCAGCACTGGATTGGAGTGAAAGACCAGCTCGTCTATCCCTTGTTTTAATCCAGCCCTCTAAAATCTGAGTTCAAACTAAAGCAAAACAGAAAATTTGTGTTTTAAAGACAAGGAGAGTGGGAGAGAAGGCCCTAATCAAAATGTTCTGATAATTGGAAACTCTGCTGGTGGAAACTAATATTGGAGAGTCATGCAGAGAGCAGGAGCTGAGCCTTCCCACTTCTTACCCAGAGATGAGGACTGACCGTGAGTGATGGCAGCATGCTGAGACAGTGCCACTGCTCCCTCAGAGCCACCCTCTTTACCACTGACCCGTGGTGTCCTCAGTGTATCTGACTCATGTTTCAGCCTGGTGGGAGCAGTCCCTCCGGGCTGTGTTCCCTCCTTTGCTCTCCAGCCAGTTTCCTAGTTTCATAGCCTATTCCAGGCTAAAGACTTCTTTTTTTTCCTCCTTTGTGTCATCCAGGAAACACACCCACCTCTCTTGCTCCAGCCTCATATTCTGCCTCACTCAGAGATTCTGTAACTCATGAGAAGGAATTTCAAGCAATGCTAACTGTGGCAATTTTTTTAACCGTGGAAATTAGAGATTGGAAAATCTTGCTAGCTCATCCAGTCCATTATTTTACATTCTAGCCTAGCCCAATTCCTGCAAGATTCTTGCCTGCAGTACATTTTCCAGTGCATTATCCAGCCTGCATCCTTTGCTTCCCATGAGAAGCTGTACCACAGAGGACTACTTTTCACTGTTTGGAAGAGGTTTCTGAAGTCTTCTTTCCCTTCTGCCTGACCTAATTTCTTCAAGTTCTGCCTGTGGTAACATGCTAGCTGGGTTCTCCTGCCTTAATGCTTACCTCGTTCAGATGATGGCAAATAATTCTTGTTCAGTCAAGCTGTTTAGCCACAATGCTTAATGCTTAGTTGTAAAGCTCAGCAATAATGGTCCTTGGCTCCCTGGAAGAGACTAACATTGGGATTAGCATGTTAATGGGTGCACAGAGCACAGCAGACATTGCTGGTCGTGTTGCCTCTTTCTTGTAAGAGTCACTTGACACACTCCATCACAAGGTCTGGCCTTGGCTGCTTTTGCCTTTGCCAGACTTGAAACCAACATCATCTAGCTCATGTCTGCTTCAGTAGTTTTATAGGGCTCTTTTTTTGTTTTGTTTTTAATTTCAGTCATGACCACTTTGCTATTTCTTGAGAACAAGGCTGGCAGGGGAATACTCTGTTTTATCCACATTTAAAAAATCCTAATTACTTTTTCTTTAAAAAAGACCCCAACAAACCACATTTTGAGCAATGTCTTGCATTAAAATAAATCACACTTTTTCTGTCAGAAACAGATCTTTTGTCATCCGTGGCAAAGGCCCCTGAAAAGTTGGCTAAGTAATGGGTTTTTGAGATATTGCAGCTTGGGCCTGCTCGGAAAAAAATAATGGGAGTTAGGAAGGACTGTTGTTTATCTTTTTTTTTTTTTTTAAACTGTGAGCCTGATGGAAAAATAGCATATGGTTTAAGACCCAGGTTGTAATGCACATGCACAAAGGCCCCTGGCAGTGTCTGCAGGGTCACCTTGTTCTGGCCTCCCTTGGGCCAGGGTGCTGTCACTGTGCCTGGCCCCTCCTTTCCATGGCTGGGTCACCCTTGGGAACTGATGTCCTTGGCCCTTGCATGGAGCTGGGGTCACCTGGGCATGCAGAATCCTGGCTATGAGGAAACAGGGAGGTGTGGAGAGGGGAGGAGAGACAAAACAAAACAAAACAAAAGCCTAACCCAAAGAAAGGCAATCAAAACAAAACAAAACAAAAAAAAACACAGAAGAAAAGACGCCCAATTTCTCTGCTGGCTGTCTCCAAAATATTTGGTGTTTTTGTTTTTAACCACTGGGGCACTCCTTTCCCTCAGGACTTGTAGGGAAGCCTGGGTGCCCCGAAACTCCCCTGGTACAGCATACACGTGCTGCATCCACGCCATGCCCATGGCAGGGACACCATCTGATCCTGGCACTCCCTGCTCCCACTGGGCCTCCAAGGCACGGGGCCAGGGCCCCACACTGGTGTCACTGCTGCCCTGTGCTGACCTGCCTGCTCCCTGGTGCACAGGTGGCTTCAGCGTGCTGCCCACCACAGCGTGCGCAGCCGTGGAGAGTGGGTTTGACTGCAGGACTGTCTGTGAAGCCACAGCTCCAAAATGCCATGAAGGAATGGAAAGGAATCCCAAACCCTCACCAAATCTGAGGAAAAAAGGAGATGCCCTCAATCCTGGATAATTATCAGGATATCCAGAAAGATAAAAGGTGCAATTGTAATATCTAGCATGATTGTTTTGAAAGTACCCACTGTAACAAAACCCCTCTGCTCAGCCCTGTAAGGAAAGCTGGTCTCATTTTTCTCTTCAGACAGCATATTAGACCGTGACCCCTCTGATCTGTGCTTGCTAGCACCCTTGCTCTGTCAGTGAACCCAGCCTGAGAAACTCACTCGTGCCTTCTGGCCACCATGCTTACTGCATTGCTTGCCATGCTGCCTCTTTATTCATTAATCCTTCCCCTCCCAGTTTTCTCTTCCTCCCCCCTTTTTTTTTTCTTGTCAAAGCAAGGAGTTTTTAATAGCTAAAGAACGAAAACACCTCCCACGCCTTGCCTTAAAAAAGCTAACTCTCTGTCTTACTCACTCTTTTAGATTTCCAAACCTTTCCTGCTAGCTTAGATGCTTTGTTTGAGGCACTGGTTCCTCAAATACCAGCATGTGAGTAGAACCTTAATGAACTATGTAGCTCCAATGGCCTTGAGAGGACAATCCCTGTGAATAAATAAATCAGATGTGGAATGGACACCATGGGATTTTGCAGAAATGGAAAAGGTTTCTGGTTTACATTGTGATTTGATTGGAAAAATAAGATATTACAAAGGACTGTATTCCAGGATGGAGTGGTATCTCCCTCGCAAAAGAATTTTAGCAGTAGGCTTGAAGTTTTTCAGGGTGCTAAGGTCATTGTGATGCAGATGGATTGATTAAATAATCTTTGGAGGCTTCCTCTAACTCTGCTTATTCTGATTCCCCATGGTGAAATGGGGAAGAAGATAAATTGAAGCAAAGAACAATTGCTTTAGCCTTCTCATTTCCATGAGTGAAACCAAAGTGCAAAGTGGTTTAAAGTGGTTTAACAGTATTGTTTCAAATGATTTTTTTTTTTTTTGCTTTAAAACATATTAAAAATATCCTTGACTCCAAGATCACCTGCATCTGTGTGAAGTACTCTCTGCACAGATTAATTTTAGATCCTCAAATTTTTTCATTACCAAAACAGAATGTCTCCCACTGTCCTTGTGCTGATTGCAGTATCAACAAGGATCCCCTGTGCTGTAGATTCGCATCTGTAGGAATGACTCCAAGGACCCAACTTTACAGTGTGTGGAAACGAGGGCTGTTTTGAACTATCAATCCAGCCATGGCTATGTGGAGCTTAGCACAGCTTGCTCTGTTCCTGGACTTAGGTTTGTACCCTGCATTGTGCTCCCTGCTGCTGGAGTGAGATTCCTAGCAACACCCAATTAAAACAAGCACTGAATGTTTACTCCCCATCACTGCCACTGCTTTGACTGCAGTGTAAACGCACCACTAATGACTTGGCCGATGGGAGGGGAAAATGATGTGTCAGAGCCAAGTACAGAACTAGGAATTTGGGCCACCAGCCAGCTGGTTAGATCACATTGTGTGCCTCTAATGAAACACATTGATTTGTGACTCTTACAATAACATTTTTAGGAAATCACTTCACTGGGTATTTATTTTTGTGTTGGAGCAGCCTGGTCAGGTTGGAAAACTAAAGCAGACTCTGTTTACAGAGCAAGAGTAAAATTTTAAGAATGAGATTAATTAATCATTGGAATAACTTTTCTAAGGATGTGATGGGCTCTCCATCATATTCTGCTGAACAGTCAATACCGGATAGTTGTATAAAATATGTGCTATGGCTCTGGTGGGAGTTCTGTGTATCACTAGAGGTGATTATCTGAAGTTATTTGGGTTCTGTTACATCTGAGAGGAGACTATCTGGTTGCAATGGTTCCCCTTGATGATAAAAAGCCCCAGGAGTCTGTGGTAGTCATTGAGTATGAGTGTTTGTGATTCTGAGTAGTAACAGACTGAGATCTTGTCAGTGTAGATTTAAAAGTAGCAGCAATTTTCATAGAGGGGACTACCAAATTACAAAGGCTCATTCTGCAGAAGTGGACGCCCTGCCAATCTAGTGGCTGATATAATGTGCTGTGATGATTTAGCGAGCTCAGAAAGAATTAAACCATCAATAAAATGACAGACTTGGTGCATTTCAAAGCGTCTGCTCAGATCTCATGGAATTTCTTGGCTGCTACATGTTCAGTCAGACAGAAAGACATGGGGGTGAATCCACGATCACCTTGTAGTATTTCACTGGATGCCTCAGAAGAGCAGATGGGAATAGTGAGCAGTGGCTAAGGTAAGCATTTGTCTGCTTGAAGTTTTGTACAGACCCTTTTCTGAACTGGCACCTCTTTAATATCCTTATAGATCTATGTGTAAATTTGAGGTTCTCTTGTCTGTTTACAGTTTATGGTTAGCTAAATTACGTAAATACTATTTTTTTTTTCTGTGTGCTCTGGTGAACACATCCTGGAGTTTAAGTACTCTGTGAAAAGCAACCACCTAGCCTTATATATAATATATAGTCTTATATTTCCTATCCAGAAATTGAGACACCTAGAATCCCTAGTGAGTCCCCAAAGTCTTTGTTGCTGCATCTGATTTTTTTTCCTTTTCATGTCTGCTTTCTGTGTGGTTTTTGAGTGTCTGACAACCATAAACGTTAGGAAAAAAAATCCAGCCAACTAAGACTTGTTTTGAGAAAAAAAAGAAGGGGGAAAAAAAAAGTAGTTAGGTCCAAACTGACTGACTGGTTTGTCCATCTTTAAGATGCATTTACTTAGTCCAGTTCAATCTTTGTTTATGCCACGGTCTCAGTGTCTAGCAATGTAAGCTGATCATCTTAGAAACAGAATTCACCTTTAAATGTGCTTAGACTAGAAAAAAATATGCCTGGTGAGGTCATTTTCAGAGCAAGAGTTAATGCATCATGCAAACAGCTAAATAAAGGTTACAATCTGAGTGGAATTATTCAGAGCTCAGGGAGAAATCTGGCATTTGCAGTCTGTCACTGGGTTTGAGAAGTCTGGCTCTCTCCATGTCCCTGTCACTCGGGAGACATCCTGCTTTCTGCGCGGCGGTAAGGGAGGGGACTGCGGCTCCGAGTGATCTTCCTGTAAAAACGGCAAAAGCAGGAGCGGTGGGAAGTGTCATGTGCGAGGAATGTGTGGAATGAGGGGTGAGTATGAGCCTGCCTTTGTCCAGTTTTCACAGAGCGACTCCATGGGTGTAAATAGCCACCCTTCCTCCTCTCCCTTCCTCTCCAGGTCAGCTGAAGAGCCAATGCCAGGATGGCAAATGGTCCCTGATATCCCTGGAGCATCACAGCATGGGGGGCTGTGGGGAGGCCTGTGCCTCTTGGGACCCACCAGTTAAATACTGCAAATTTTGGGCCCTATCTGGCAAGGTCTCCTTGACCTTCTTTTCCACCAACATCCCTGGGAGTTGAATTTGTCGCTTTGGGGCAAGATACACCCAAGCCAGGGATAGAGCCAGGATAAAAATGCATCACTTGTCAACGCCCAGGCTTCTTTAGAGTTGGCAATCTCCACAGTGGTGCTGTGCGACGATTTTGGGGGTTTTTGCATTTTGTTTCCTTGTTTTGTTTCTATAAGTCAAGCATTTGGCTGATTGCACAGGAAATCAACTGCTATGGGCATTCACTTCAATGGGCGAATTTTAAACGAGTCACCAGGGACTGGCTGCTGCTGAGTTCAAAGAGAAAGAGGCATGCAAAAACTCCAGCCAAGCCAAATGATGGTGGGAAATATCAGATACAAAGAGGAGAAAACTGAAGGCACAGCAGGGTGAAAGACAGATACAGTTGATTTTCCTGTCTATAATAGGTCTGATTGAGGTGAGGTTAATATAGAAAATTTAAAAGCAAAACAACCAACCAACCAACCCAAATCCAAACCAAAACCAGATAAAATCCCCATAAGTTTGCAAAGGGGAGTTTGTTGAACATCAGGAAACATGCTCTGGTGTTGGTGTTCTATGAGTTGGGTGCAATAATCTGGGAAAATTTAATGTGATACTTGACAAAATATTGTGAAAAGTGTTGGAAAGAATAGTTTCATGCAGGGCAGAAGGTGGGCAAAAGCCAAGCTCCTGCAATCATTCCTCTTTTTTTTCTTTTCCCAGTGATTTCAAGTGTTCCCATACTCAGATAATTCCAAGGGACAGATCCACGCCCCATTTCAGAGTCAAGGTAAAGAGTTTGTGTTCATAAAAATGTTGAAAAAAAAATAAGGGGATGGGGGGAGGAATTTCAAGGGAAGGAATAGCAGTCTATACTTCGGTGTTGCTTTCCCCCAGCATACATGTGAACAGCAGAGTCCCAAAAAGAAGACTAGAGAAAGATTGCCATCTTCTGGAAGGATAAATATCTGCCATTATTCAGAATACTAAATCTGCTATGGGCATATTTTTTAAACCATAGCATATTTCTGATCAATTTATTTCCCAACATGAATTCTTATTCATATTAAACCAATTCAGTTTAATTTCATCAATATATATGCCATGAACTCAGCTTTAGAAACTGACAAAGAATCTTGGATTTTAATGATACTCTAACCAAGCTTAAAATTAGGGAGGTGTTTAAGAGTTATCAGTAGAGATGGACTTTATTTATTCTTGAGCTCATAAACCAGGGTTTTTTTCTTTTTTTTTTTTTTAACGGAACATTTAGAAGTTAAATTTAAGGTGTCCAGATGTGGACAGACTGCAAAAAAGAAAGCAAAAAACCACTCTCCTTTTAAATGGCATCAGCTGTTGTTCTTCCTAGTCCAGGAAATTAAGTACATCTGTTTCAAACAGAACCTTTTTATTAATCAAAAACCTGCAGGCGGTCCATGGAGCACAGGGACATTCAGCATTGCTTTCAGTTAGTCCGTCTTAGAAACGCTTATCTACATTAGAGGAGTTTATGCAGCGACTGGATTAAAATAACCGCAGAGCTCCTGCCCGTTCTGCTCAGGGCAGGGAGGGTCAGGAGGCCGGCATGGCTCAGCCCATGTGCTGCCCGTGACCTCCTCCGCCTGCTGCCCGTGCTGTGCGGGGCTGTCACAGGCTGTGCCGTCACCCGGAGCTATCCCTGCGCTGCTCCAGCCTCCGCGCTCCCTGTTGGACACGGGGCATGACAATGGATGCGCCACTGCTGTCCTCGGCCTTGGCAGAGCAGCATGCAGGGAATCTGCCTCCTTCCCTCCCAGTGGCGGTACGAGCTTCACCCACTTGGCATTGGGCAAAGCGCTTGTGAGGAAGACAGGACGTGTCTTCCTTTGGGATGCTCCCCTCCCTGATGTTCTCCTCCCTTGCAGTTTGATTCGGTGCAACTCTGCTCCATGGCTTCTAGTCCTTTCTCATGAGACACGATGACATTCTTACTTTTCATGGGTTTGATACCACACAGTTATTTTGAGAGCCTTTAAACTTTCAGGACAAGAGCTCAGAGGGGACTTTGTGTCAATGTGAATCTCTGTATCTCCTTACTAAGTTCCCAAATTCATCCAATGTGAACCAGCTGGGATTCCCAGTGACCTTCACATTTTGGTAAAGGCTGCCACTACAAGTGACACTGACAATCTACCTCATTCTCCTAAGCTTTGGCTATTGGCTTGACTAGCTGCTGTTTCAAACACCTCCTTTGTGGTAGTGTTTGGATGCCATGGTGTCAGTCTGCCACTCAGCAGCTTTTCTGCTAAGGGGCTCCTTTTGGCATCAAAATTTCCAGTGCCCATGGGGAGCACTGTATTGGTATCTCTTCAGGCACTGAAATCCTCAGTCCTCAGAGCAGATGCATAAACTTTCCCCATTTATTTTATTCTGCCCTTTCTGCAACTCTTGGCTGTGGCCAGGAAGATATCCTGGGATGCTTTTGGTCTTTGCCATTCCGCTGAGACAGGGCACAGTGCAAGGGGTGACCTGATGCCAAGGGTGCTGGCAGTTTCCCAGCTAAGGTCACTTCTCCCCTGTAGCATTGGCCCAAGCTGCCATCTTCCACCATACAAGCCCCCAGATAGCTACCACATGGGGATGGCTGGAATCTTTCAGTGTTTTAGAGAAACTTTCTACTCAGTTAATACAGGTCACTCTTCTGCACTTAATCCCAACCCGCCGCACCAATCGCTTCCCATATAATCTCCCAGAACAGCTGTGCTGTGATTGCATTGTGGATTACAAAATGACCATTTTCCACAAAACAGCTGCTGATCAGAAGGATAGCATTTAATAATCACTGGCGAGGAGAAGGAGGAGGGGACCAGACAAAGGAGGAAGGATTTTGCAGCATTTGGGTTTCTTGGGGGATATAGAGATGAGCAAAACAGCAGACAAAGCGTGAGTCCCACTTCTGTGCTGCTCATCCAAATTAACAGGACTTCAAGGACTTGCTGCTAAGGTAAATTGAAATATCATTCCTTTTTGGGGCTATCTAGACATTATGGTTGGTTACTATCAGTGAGTGTTTGGTTTTTGTGAAGGGAAGCTTTTCTAACAATGTTTTCAGGAAGCAGTTCAGATTTGCTTCTCATTCCATATGTCTTCTGCATCCTTGATCCACTTCCTACTTCTGACTCATTTGTTTCTTGTACTTTTTAAGTCTTTTTCTTAACACTTTTCCTGAAATTATACGGCCTTTCAACTACTGTCATAAATCAACTGGAGAGAATATTTTTCCCACTACTGAAGATTTAAATTAGAAAGATGATTTTTGTAAATATTGTGAGTGCAATTTTTTTGTTAAATAAAAGCATTAGCAACCCAAAACCTGATGACAGAAAATCTTATAATTAAGCATTGATGAAAAACTGAAAAACTTTGTGTGCTGAAGGTTTCAATTTTCAGGTGAAAAACTGTGGTTTTGAGAAGAGCAATTTTGTCTGCAATTTCCTTTTCAGTCATAAGCCAAATTTTCCACCAAAAAAACTTTTAGTGAGACGTTTGCCACTAATCTTAGCCAGGAACTCTTCCTAAGAGGTGTCTTCTCTGTGAAAATGGTAATATTCAACATGCCTTCAAATCATGAAAGCCATTAGTTATGGCTTTCATGTTAGTTATAACTAAGAGGTTACCATCTCCAGGGTGCAGAAAGAAATGTCCTGCTGAAGAGACAAAGAAGCCAGAGTATGAAACAACACAGGAAAATTTCAGGAGCTGAGTATTTTCTTGCTTTCAATGAGGGTTTTCAGGGTCAGGCACTGCTTTCTCAGTGTGATGAGATGCTAATAAGGTCCTGCTTTTCAAGAGGAGCTTCTGCGCTGTCTTTGTTAACCATGTTTCCAAGCTTGCTGGGTAGCAGAAAAAATTGGTTCTAATTGGTTTATGTGTGGTGCAGTCACAGACAATGAAAAGCTGGGTCTGTATTGTTTATTTATAGTGATGTCCACAGAATGGTCTCTCTCACATGTTCAGTGTTGGGTGAGTCAGCCAAAGTTAAGTGAAGAGGACCCGCAGCAGGCAGGGTCTGTACAAACTGAATCTATTCTTGGGTAAATAGATTTTCAGAGTCATAAATAGGAAAGGGTAGGAGTAGCTGGATGAAGTTGTGCCAAACATAGGGAGTGCCACGTGGGAAGAGACATGCATTGATTACATGAAAGTTGATGTGTGGGTAGATGACATCTAATCAATCTATGGCGTGATATTTTGGGGCTCTCAGGAGTCAGTGCAGGGTTTTGCAGGAACCCTAAAGTCTTCATCTTCCCTCTGAGCGAGAAAGTCCCTGGTTCACAAATTGGTTTCTGAATTTCTTTAAATGATGAGATGAAATCACTAAGAATGTTTGCGGCAACATTCACCCTTACAGGGAAAAAACCTTTGGCACTTTATGTGAAAGCAAAGACGCTGCCATCCCACCATCCTACCAAATTTCTGATGTGCAGATGAGAGCTCAGGTGGAAGGTGCTGCTCCGTGGCTTGTACTTAAGATACCAGGTCTGGATAGCTGGGTGTTCCCTCTGAGCCAGTCATGGCTTTGATGTGTGACCTTCAGCGATTTGGGAACATCTTCCTGCCTTTTCCCACTGAGAAATCACTATACTCTCTGCCTCCCTAGGTACAGTAATGAGCTGCTTGAAAAACTGTTTTGGGACACTTGGCAGCAAGATTTCTCATTTGATTGGAGAGAGCATTTGTATTTCATGTAAAGGCAACACATGGTATTGAGGGAAGTTGGTTAACAGTTTCTCCCTGTCATCTCTGAGATGGATGAATGTGATGTTCCTTTCGTTTTGCTCATGTGCTCAGACACCTCAATGCACTCAGCCCTGCTGTCACCCTCTCTTCCCCAGTACAGATATTCAGAATGCTTTGCTGAATATGGTTGAAGCTGACCAGGTCCACTGCCCTGGCTTTCAGGGAATGGTTGTTCCATGCTGGGTGAGCTGTTGGGGTGTAGTGGGGAGGTCAGAGTGCTCACAACCCCTGCCCACAGCTGCATGCTGGGAGAGGGTGGGATTCCTGAGGCTGTGTGGGACAAGTGGCCGGTGTGATGGTGTCTCCCATTTGTGTGTTGCAGATGGAGCTGCTGAAGGGACTGCCGTTGCGCCGCACTTTCCTGGCTGTCATCCTCAACCTGCTGGCTCTCACCCTCTCCACCACAGCCTTGCTGGGCAGCTACTGGTGCACCGGGACCCAGAAAGTACCCAAGCCTTTGTGTGGGAAGAGCAAAGCCTCCCAGTGTGTGGGTGTGCCCATGCCATCCGATGCAGACACGAGCAATGTTTCCTCTGAGGACACGGTGCACTACAGCTGGGAGACTGGGGATGACCGCTTTGCCTTCAGATACTTCCACACAGGGATGTGGCTTTCCTGTGAAGAGAGCATGGAAGGGCCAGGTAGTGTTTTGCTCAGGCAGCCACAACTTATTGCCTTGTATTTACTCCACAGAAGTTTGAAGCTGAAAGGTGGAAGGCTGAGAACACGTGGGAGAAAAGTATTCTTCCTTTTCCTAGATGGTATCAGCTCTGTGCACTGGTGTGGTCAATGTATTTCTGTCCTTCACTGGAATTTCTGTCCTTCACAGAGCAGGGAAGTGGAGAGTGGCTGTCTCTGGTGTGCCCTTTGGTCAGGAATAGGGCCTGTGAAGTGCAAGTGATGGTGGTGGTGGCAGTGACTTTATGATAGCACTGTCCATCCTGATGGGAATTTCCATGAGCCTCCTTTCCCTTTCCCTGTATCTCCATTCCTATTCACAGCTTACTTCATGCTCTTCAGGGCAAATTTGTGATGTCCCCTCAGAAATCTAAGTACAGTGATTTTATGCAGATGATAATTTTTAGCTATCACTGTGAGGACTACAATAGTTGGTATTCTTAAATCATCCAACTGAGTAGTTTTGCATTATTAAAAAGAGACTGGGCTTTTCTTAAAAAAACCCACAAATAAATAAAACAGAGAAAGGGAATTTCTACCTTATAGATACAGAGAAAACCTGAAGGATCTGAACCCAAAGGAACTAAAGCTAGGAGGTAAATTAACCTAAGGATTAGAGCTGCAATATTGTAATTGTTTTTAGTTTTTGTGATATTGTGACAGGTTTCATTAGTGATTTTTGAACATGTGGGACTGGCACTGTAAATCCTGAAGTGCCAGGGACTGACTGTGGAACGTGCACTAGAACCCTTTAGTGCTTCCCTTCACCCTTGACGTGTTCCTGCCCAGACCTGCTCAAGTCCTTCTGCTGAAACCTGTGCCACGCCAGCACAGGTGGGTGCTCTGCAGTGCTCAGATGCCCACTACTGCCTGGCACACACCTCAAGGATCAGAACTAACCCAGAAGGTGGCCAACACAGAGATTTGTATCTAAAAATAGAGTGATGGAAGTCACTTTCATCAGGGCCATTCCCCTGAGCCCACCACCCTCCCTTCAGCTCTGCCCAAGCGCAAACATCTCACCTTCTTTAACCAAACCATCCTTCCAGTATAGTATTTTTCATCTCTGTTTCTGTCAGTTTGAAAATAAATAGCTGGTGAAGAAAAGCAGACAGAAGGAGGGGTTGGAGCAGAAGGGAATGTGCTTGAAACTCTCATGTCCTCACAAGTGGGCTGCTTTTTGTTATGAGCATTTCCAGAAGGGCTGTGGAAGGAGATGTGTTTATTTATGACTGGTTTGGGTTGGGTTGTGTTTCCATGATGCTTGTGGGAGTGAAACTACATCCCTCAACTGATTTCTCTGAACAACTTTTCTGTTCACTGGGCAGTCCTGGAATAACCCCAGTGCCTGAAGGAACAGAGAAAGTATGTAACATCTGGATCACAGCAGAACTCGGGAGAGAGCACGGGATAGAAGCACAGTCAGTCTCAGTCTCCTGCTCCCTGTAAATCTTCCTCCCACTACTGTGCATCTTTGAAGCAACTTCATAGACAATAAAAACAACAAAGAAGGGACTACTCTGAACAAAAGGAGTTTGAGTTGAGCCGGAGAAAGGATTTCATTTTCAGGCTAATCGCAGGATCAGTTTAGATGAGCCATTACTGAATATCCTCATTAAAGTTCTAGGTGAAGTAGCAAATTGCAAGTTAATGAGAATCGCAGATGGCACTAAACTGGGTAGCATCCTGAGGGCTGTGGATGACAGAAGTAGCACAGGAGATTTGGAAAGATTAGAACTGGGGATAGAAATTAAGAAAATTAGATTCTTACATGAAGCGGAAAAGTCAGGGAGAAAATACTGTGCCAAGTGGAGGAGAGGACCCTCAAATGCAGCAATGCAGTATGCAGGGACAGAGGCTTACAGATAGTAATGATGGACCCTCAGCTGAGACACTAGTTTGCCAAAGCAAATATTAACACAATTTGTTGAAATAGCATGTCTAAAATTTGAGGACCAAGGACCATATTTCTGTATGAGTCTCTGCCACAGAAGGAGGACTTGCATCTCTGTCACCAAGTATTTCACTTGGGAAGTTCTGTTTTTGCTTTCTTCTTTGAGAAGCAGTGCTAGAAATGCTCTTCTGAGATTAGGGTGTATGGGAATTCAGCAGAAGTGATGGATCTGCAGTCTCTTACAAGCTACACCCTTAATAAACCTGATCATCAGTAATGTTGTGAATGAGTAGCAACAGATTTTTATATTCAACAGAGACTAGAAAGATTTACAAATTGCTGAAGCTTTTTTTTTCTGAAAAGGTAATTTCTAGTTTTGCAGGAAAATGCTGCCTTCCCATCCTTTGCCTCAGTGAAGGTCGGGAAAGATAGAAAAAGACCAGAGGTGAGAAGGTCTGATGGGTAGATTCAGGGATGAATGGATGTATGCACTGAAAAGAGAGTGAGATGAAGAGATTTTCTTTTCCCCTGTGTTCCCTGCATTGTTTTATAAACTCAAAGCTTTGGTTTTGTATTTCAGAAGAGAAATGCCGCAGCTTTATTGAGCTTTCACCACCAGCAGAAAGAGGTAAGAGCACATCCCTCTATTTTACTGTAGCTGTACAGTGTGCCTCCTAGGGACAGGGAACCTGCAGTATTTTGCCTGTATGAGGACAGCAGGGTGGGTCCCCAAAGAGCCAGGTAAGAAATCCTGTCCTTGTGGTTGCTAAAAGAGCAAAGATTTCCTCCCAGATGTTTGCATAAACCACTGCCATTTGTGAAGTCAGTGCTGGAAACCTCAGATTCCCTCCAGTATGAGGTGGGATTTCTCTCATGTAGTGAGTTGCCAGGTCTGGAGTTGTCATCTTGCTGTAGTAAAGGGGAAGAGGATGGATGCAGCCTCAGGGCAGCCCCTCCTACACAGGCTACATGTTAACTCAGTGCTTCAGTTTTGGGGCCTAGTACCATTAATCTGGAAGCTGAATCACCTCTTACTTTGCGGTAAATGAACAGGACATCTGAAAATGATGCTTTCAAGGTGAAGTCCCTGCCTCATTAAATACAAAACTACATTTGGGTAGAAGAGATCACCCCTGCTGTCATTCTCACATGTTTCAAGTCACGCTGTGGACAGCTTCAGTACAGTTTGATGTAAGTGTACATATGCTACGGAGGTTCTACTTAATGAAGGCTTTTCAATTGGTGTGGGCTTGCTAACTATTCCCTGAGATGGAGGCTGGAGACAAGTCATTTCAGAAGATGTTCACATATGAAGGGAAAGGCCTGGGGTGCAAAGCCTGTCACAGCACTCAAACCCTGAAAACAAGGGCGTAATAAATGCTGGGGATTTGCAAGCACCACTTTCACCCTTTCCTGCACAAAGTATAATAATCTCAACATGACCAGTGCAGGTGCCATTGTATGGCCAGGCTAGCACTGCACAAGGGGGTGTGACTGCTGACTGTGGGATGGGCTGGCTGAGCTGGGTGTGTGCAGAGCAGCTCCACAGTACACAGGCAACATTACAAGACCAAATTACACATCATCACTGGGAAGCTTGGACTCACAAGCAAAATGATGCAGAGGTCTCTGTGTATGTGTGGTTCCTGCAACCTCCAGAATACTTTTGACAGTCTGACCTTTAATGAAATATTCTCCTTGATGGTGCTGCAGCAAGCAAGCCAGCTCCTTTAAACAGGGAATGCAGCTCATCTATTTCTGCTAAAGAGCTGGTTGACTCTATGGCACTAATGATGTTGAGTATTCAAGTCAGTGCCACATTAATGAGGGTTTTCTTCACACTCCTTTTCCCCAGCTGAATATCTCCTCTACAGCCATTAATAGTTGCTAACAGTAGTGTCCACAGTGCTGCTTCATTTGTCAGATTAATGTTTCTTCCTCAGTGGATCCTGTGCTTTTCCACAGCCCAGCATTACAGAGTGCCTTTCTTCATCCTCCTTCAGTTCTTGCTGCACAGCTGTAGAACTGAGCTCAGCTGTGGACTCTGGTATCACTTAGATCCCACTCAAAATCCCAGCCTGGAAGTACCTGCACTTTGTTCAAGGAGCAGGGTGGGTGGTCAGTGTTACTGCCCTGGCTGGATATCAACCCCAAGGAACATACTTTCATTTTAATTGAGGTTTCAGTGAGAAATACAGGGGTGCAAGAGGCTTCCTGAGTTCCAGAGGCCATGTCCCAGACAGTCATGGATGCACCATATAGTTCTTAAATAGTTGAGTCCCAGGTTAAAAGTTGTTTGGTTTTGTTGTGATTAGAGTTTGGATGTGTTCATGGCCAATCTATGACCATTATATTTTATGCTAACAGTCAACAGTTTCCCTGTCTTTTTCCCCTTGCTTTCCTCCTTGCTGTTTATGAATAGTGCTGGCTTGTTTACAGAGGCCATTTTAGATCTCCTCAGCTCTGCCATGCTAGAGGAGCCAGGCCATCCTCTGTGACATGCACTCTGTCCCCTACAGCACCCATTGATCCCTTGCTCACAGGCTGGGGAGATTGCTTTCGGGTTTTTGCTGTTTTCCTTTGTTCCCTTCTATCCAAAGGACATCCTTTCAGGATTGGGTTGAGAGGGGAGTACTCTTCCTTGAACATGGTTGCATCCTGTATTCCTGGCAGGAATCCTGTGGCTGTCACTGGGATCAGAGATGCTGTACATCAGCTTGCTGCTCATCAGCTTCATCCTCCTGATGGTGGAAATTCTGCACACTGGCAATCCTGTGTGTGGGATGAAGCTCAATGCCTTTGCTGCTGTCTCCTCAGTGCTGTCAGGTAAGTGTATTACTGTAGTCTTGGAATCTCAGCACTGGAGAGCCTGCTTTTCCACTCGAGGCTGAAGTATGCTGCTCTGGCTCCTGCTGTAACTTCTTTGCTTTGTCCTTTGTGTCCAGGTCTCCTTGGGATGGTGGCACACATGATGTACACTCAAGTCTTCCAGGCAACAGTTAATCTGGGACCGGAGGACTGGAGGCCGCACACATGGGACTATGGCTGGGCATTCTAGTACGTGAGCTCTGAGGCCATCTTCACCCCCAGCCTTTAGAGCTTCAGCCATGCCACCCGCTTCCTCCTCCTTTCCTGACCTTCTGTGTGTCCAATTACAGGTGTACCAAGGTTCTCTTACCATTAATCTGCGGTCTTTGCCTCACCCTGTTTTAATAAATGGTGGCTGAGCTACTTAAATGAATGGTTACCAAAGGAGTGGGAAAACAATGGGGTCACACCTGAACTGAATTGCCTTCAGCCTTGCTGACTCATTAGGCTTGCCCCTCTGCTGGTTTGCCCTGTTTGGTCTCAACTCTTCCCTGTGTGCAGAGGCCAGTGTCACACTTGTAATGATGCTCTCAAACACACCTTGTTTTTCTGCAGCTTTAACAAGTTGCATGCTGGCTCAGCATCTTCACTAACCAGTGTTGGGCCAAAGGGCCTGTTCCTGCAACACCAACACCAAGCCTAGAGATGTGGGCAGAGCTCAGCCCCCAACCAGCAGCCACACCATCTTCTGCAGTGCTGGCCCAGCCATATAATGGCAGCTGCACTGGAGGCCAAGGCCATCTTAAGAAGGTACTACGTACAGGAAGGAGGGAAAGCAGGCAGTACACCACAGGGTCACTTGTGAGCCAGGAAGAGGAGCTGTGAAAAGCAGGTGGCTCAGTGTGCCTTTCTCTAAAGGATAAAGCAGCCAAGCACAGTGGACATGACATACCTGACCTGAGAAACAGTTGGGTGAGCCTTGCAGGTGCCCATGGAAAGTGCAGGTTCAATTTCAATGCTGTATTGATGATTGACCACATTGATTCTCAAACACTCCAGTGCCCCTGTGCCACCCATGGAGATGAAATGCCAGGCTGACAATTTGGTTATGCTCAGGTAGACAAGCCTCATGCACAGTAAGACACTGAGAGTCCAGCAATACAGAACTTGCTTCCAAGCTGTGCTCCCTTGCTCTGACGAGTTACAGATGTTCCTGCTGCCCTTTTCCCTGTGTCACTCCTGTCCCTGTCATGGGGATGACCAATATTTATCCCACTGATTTAAGAAGAATCTTGTGGTGGGATAACTGAAGAACTGTAATGCTATGAGCCTTAGTCACTCTAGTACACGTCTGTGCCCAGTAGATTCTGCCTGGCAAATCACGAAGAATTGATGTGTGTCATGGTGTTCCTTACCCTACATGGCTTTTCACAGCATGTGCTTCTTCTGTGTGTCTCTGGCAGCATGGCCTGGGCCTCCTTCACCTGCTGCATGGCCTCTGCTGTCACCACTCTCAATACCTACACCAAGACGATACTGGAGTTCAAAAGGAACCACATCAAGGGATACGATGGGACCCTCAAGGATCACCCTCAGCACCACCAGTGCTTCATACAGCAAATAAGCAGCTACTATGAGCCCAAAGGCAAGGTCTTCCATTCAGTCTCTGAGGGAGTCGACTTCTACACTGATCTGCAGCAGAAAATACTGCAGAGGGAACCAGAGCTGGACCTGGATGAAGTCTTGGGCCAGACAATCGGGGAGGATCGCTGTTAGGGATGAGTGTACAGGGACAGAGCAGTGAGGTTTGGGAGGAACAAGAGCTCTGAACCAAGCATTGGCACCACTGTTAGCAGGTTTTGGGGAGCTCTTCCAGGCTCTACAGGGAGTGAGGAGGCAGGCACTGGGTCAGGGCAACTAGAGCAGAAGTTTGGGGGTCCTCCCTGGTCATATACAATGTGATGGGTGCCCTCTTCTGACAAGGGTGAAACTGGAGGGACATGCTGGTGCCAGCTGTCTCCAAGCACTTTCAGAGTTGAGTCAGATGTCCTGATCCAGTATTGCACTGGGGAACAGACAGTCAGCACCATCCAGATGGCAAACTGCACTGCTGGGTGGTGTCACACTGACCTTCCATCAGCACCTCCATTTCAGTGCTATGGTGAAGGCCATCAGTGTTCATATTGATCAGCTGTCACCCTCTCTGAACACCCTGCTTATTCTTAATTTCCAGGCCCAAACTCTTCTCCCTGCCCCCAGATTAAATGTCCTGCTGCAGTAGGAATAGGGGATAGCTTTCAGACATCTCCTCCTCCTTCCTATCTGTAATGACTCCCACATGTTCCCTTCTTGCTTTTTGCCCAGAAATCTCCCATTCTGAGGTACTTTGCTGTCTGCCTCTTTTTACTGTTTCTTCGTAACCATTAAGAATTTGGCAGGACTTTTGCTTTTTATGTTACTTCTATTCATCTGTTCCTTTTTGTCCATTGTAAAAATATTGCAAACAACCGCTGAATCAAAACCCCAAGCAAGCTCATCTCTCAAAGGTGAAACACTGGTTCACATGACACATGATGCTGTACACAGTATTTATTTTGTTTCACTGCAGTTCAAATACATTTTTCCAACAATATACAGACAGACTCTTTATTCACAGTGGGGGTGGGGGCAGGGTGAATTCACATTAAGGAGGAGCTAACATCACTGCTCTTGAATGTCAGTTCTCTCAGGAAGAATCTCAGAAGTAACTACTTAGGTAACAGCCGATTCACCTTTCCCAGCAAGGTGGTGGCTGCACAGGAGGGAAGAAGCACTCCTGTTTAATCCCTCATATGTTACTGGTCCTCACACTTTCAGTCCTATTCTGCAGCTCTGTTAACTGACACTAGCTCTATTATAAACACTAAACCCTGTGTGCAGGAAAATGCCAGGCCTAGAGCCATTGCTACAGTTGTGCTAATATATACAAAGCTATTTACACAAAAATACCATTAAACATATACAAACTGTTCACAGCTCTAACATTAGGAGATCAGGGCCCAAAGACCAGCCTTGGGGCTGCAGCTAAACCTGAAGGGCTATCCTGGAAGCTTTATATAGAAATGTGGGATGATGGAAAGGGTGATACAGCAAAGAGAGGTTCAAGGGCCCAGCAGAGCAAACCCATGGCTAATGTGCCCATCTGAAAGGAGGGTCAAAGTCTGCTATCACCTCATAACTCATGGGGAAATGTGGGGAGGCTGGAAGGGCACGTGCTAGACAGAAAAGTCCTTTGCAATCCTCATCTCAGCCTGGCTCTGTTTAATGTCAAAGCCAGGCTTAGAATGGCATACTAGGAAAGGAGTTCCTATATTGTTGCCCTAAAATACTGGTGGGGAACTACCGGGGCACCAACTTGTTTCACTTTTATATGGTCTTTTCTACTACAAGAAAATTCATACAGATGCTGCTCAAATGCAACAGAGAATAATGGCACACTCTGGGACAGAGTGGGACACACCCAACACACTGTGAACAAATGTGTCCCAGGGGTAGCTTGCTCCTCCTGGAGCTGCACACAGGGCTGGTCTGGCAAGGGAATTGCAATATTGAGCTCAGGATAGGGTTAAAATGCACAGAAAAGCTTTCTAGTTCTGTCTCTGAACCTCTAAACCCTGGAGCAGCAGCGTAAGAATCAGCTTTTCTGTGACAAGACTGAGTGACCTTTACAGTGACATTTGGGATCTGCTGGACCTCCTATCCCAAGGGGGCTGTCATACATTGGCAAAGAGAGATTCTGCCCATTGGACTGCAGTGTGATGTTACAGTGACAATGTGGGTTCATACAAACCTTAAGGATGGAGAGAAATTAGCTGTGAACCTTTCGCTTCTACATCACCCACATATGCCTGAACTTGGTGTCCTGAACTTGGAACTGGGAAAGAAACACACAAGTGCAAGGGGCTGGCAGATGCTGTGGAGACCATCCTTCTCTGGATCAGGTAATTCAGCCAGAGAACTAGCTTGTTTGTGAGTCTGGCAACAGTATGGACAAGAGAGCTGAGAGCACAGGAGAAGTCGTAGATAAGACTAAACCTGCAGGAGCTAGAGGCTTCTCTCCAAAAATAAAAAGATTAAGGGTGTCCTTTAGCCACACCACTTGCCTTGACTCATCATGGCTCACTCCAGGCACAGAGCTTGTTAGACTGCTTGGGAACACTATCTGGACATAAAAAGGTGTGTCCTAAATCTCATTCATAAATTAAACATACAAAAAATATACATACGTTGTATAAATTAACACATATATATATAAAGCCTGATTTTATATATATATGTATATAACCTCTAAATTCACATTTCTGTGTTACCTGGAAGGAAGCATGCAAGAACAGCATACAGAGAGGGAGTTGCTGAGTAAGGTTTCTCTGGTACAGAACAGGTCTGCCTAGGACAAACCTGCCTTCAGCAGCATTCCCCAGACAGCTGAAGAAAGGGGAAGTGCTTTTAGACCCCATTCCCTCTATACAGCCATTTTCCTGAAGATACACAGAGCAGCTTCCTATATTCCCAGTACAGGCCACAGGTCCAACCAACATCTGAGGAACCACCAGGCTAGAGCTGAAGAAGGAAAGGCAAACAAACATTAAAGCCAAAATCGATTATCATCCAGTCTGGAGAAGTAAAGTCAGCAACAGAACCTGGGCACCACTATATGGAGGACCCTTGCTTGCCCATGTCAAAACAAGTGATCTCAGTCCCACCTCTCTGATCCTTCTGCAAGTCTCTCAGTCTCTAATGATCATCATCCCTGCTTCTTTCTAAGATCCTGTGCTGTGCTCAACTGCCTAAGTACATCTTTGCATCACAATCTGTATCCATCTTATGCCCAAAGGGGCAGCCAGTCATCTTGCAAACAGTCATTTTGCATCCCACCAGTCCCCTTCCAACCCAAAGAGCACCTTAACTGTGTCTGTAGGGAAGAAACCAGCTGTTTTCAAAGGCCTGGATTTCATGAGGGATTCCTGCACAATCTCACCTTCTGAGGAAAGTCAGCAAATTTCATCCGGGCCAGAAATCGCCTCACTTCTCCACGGCTGATTTTTGGAGTCCTGCTGTCCTTTAACCACACCATTCGGCCCTGGCTCATCATGGCCCACTTCAGGCCCAGCTTGCTGACCGACAGAAATCCTGGCTGCTTCTCAGAGGTTGCAGTTGTTGTCACAGTGATGTGAAATGCATCCTTTTGGAGGTCATTAATTCCAACTGGTCCATCAGAAAAGGGCAAGAAAACAGTGGTGAGGAGGAAATTATTTTGGTTCTTCCAAAAGAAATGTTATAGCCCTTACTCAATCAAAATATCCACGAGACTGATAGCATATTCAGTCTGACTTCACAATTCCATGTACCTTAGTTGATAAGGGAATATTATTTTAATATTTTTCCATGGATAGAAACTGAAATATAGATCAGAAATGGAATGGTTTGGTTCCAGGTTATGTTTTTGGGCTTGACACAGGATATGAGCATGTTTCAAGAACACAGTTCACTCTCAGATCTCCTTCCCACACCTGTTAGTAGCTATTTTTTACCTCTATAAAACTGGAAATTTGTAAAGCACTGGCAAGTCAGGTGACTCCAGTCACTGCAGAATGATCTGTACAGACCTCAGAAATCCTAGTTTCTAAAAAAAATCCTGTAACAACAGTATTCTATTTGTTCTTGCCTGAACTGTATTTTTGATTCAAGTCCAATTAGATGTTATTACTATGCAGCAGTTTTTCTATGCTTCCTGGCCTACTTCTCTTAGTGCTGGATGAACTTTTATCCCACACTCCCATGCACAAGAGGCTGGTTATTTGCTGAATGACTTTAGAAAGAGCAAGAGACTGTACAGTCTTGTATAGATGTTAAATCCAGATCTGCTTTTCCCTGAAAACACACATATATTTTGATTCCCCCTTACAAAAAGGAAGAAGAAGTAGAACAGCTCCTATCCCAAAAAGCGGGAGATGACCAACAAAAGCAGAAGTGGATCTGAGGTAACAGAGAAAAGTCACAGAGGGATTTTTTATGCACAGCATTAAATTCAAAATAGCTCCATGAAAATCACAACAACTCTGGTGTAGAACATACATTAAACCTGCCATTGCTTAAACATATAAGAAACTTTGTGGGTCTTTTATTTGCAAAGTAGGGGGTGGACAGGATGCTCCTTCAGAAGGAAGATGAATCTTATTTCCCGTTGCCATGCTATGTGTGGTGGACCTTAGGTGCTCCCTTTAAAGGCACAACTGCAGCCCACTGTTTCTCACAGCTACTTCTCTCCCCATATTTCTAGTCTAGGTAGTTTCTCCTCCATTTGTACTCACCTGCTGAAGCAATGACTTTGTCTGTTGCATTAGTGAGGTCCAGAAGGACTGTAGGAAAAACAGGATGGAGGAGATAGAGGTGGTGCAGCCCTGGGCGCTCAGGTCTGGGACCAGGCTGCTGTTGCAAAGAAAGACACAAAAACATAACAACTATTAACAAAGGGGAGTCCAGCTTTGTCAAAAAAATAAAGTTTTCTGACACTGGGTTGTTTTGACATGGACCAAAGAAAGAAAACCTGTGGTTTTACAAAGATTAAATCCTGAAACCATTTTTTCCCTAAAACAGAATTTGCTCCACAATTTCTCTTTGATAAGGTTGCAATCTAGATCTGTCATATGCAGCTACTTTGACTGTAGCTGGGCAAAGCTACAGTCTGGAAGTTTGACTCTCAATGCCAAAATGTGTGCCTGCATTGACAGAAGGAGCACTCTAGGCTGGGAACAAATCTGAAGTTACAACTCCTCAGTGCTGCATGAAAAAATGAAATTCACAAATTTTGGGGTTTGTAGATGCAAAATTTCTGTCAACAAAGCTTGACAATGAAGAATTTGCACATGAAAATTCCTGTGTTGAGGGTCAGAGAAGTCAGAATGTCAAAGAGATGTCCCTGACAGCCTTCTCATATATTAGGTTCAAGTTCAATGATAAAAGGAATAAGAGACAGAGACCGCACATGCTCCACAGAGAAACCTAAAACTGAAGAAAAGATGCATGCTCACCATACTTCGTAACACAGGCTTGGTTTCATCAGCCCAGAAGAGAAAAACAGACTTCTTGTCCAAAGTCATGACTGAGAGTGCATCAAGTTGTTGCCTCTGCCATGGAAGTTCCTGGTTCCAAACAGGGAGGCCAGATTTGCCATCTATCACCACCACCTCAAGGCAGGGAGAGACTGAGCATTAATGGATGCCAAGGCATGGGTCTGCAGAGCTCCCTTGCAGAGGCATGGCCTGTGCTATTCCCTTTCATGCCTGTGGCCACACCCTGAGGAGTGCCGGCCAAAGAGAGGGGAAAAGCAAGGACCAGAGAATGTTTGTTGCTTTTTACCCAGCCTACCCCACTCCTGTGCTGCCACTGCCCTCCCTGCCTTCACCTGTTTTACCTTTTTGCTCCCATCTCCAGTCTGTGCTTGCAGCA